CAGTCAGTGTGCTTATGATTATGATGATGTTGACTGTGACAGTGACACCGAGCAGCACAGACAGCTTCCCATTGGGAATCAAAGTGAATCTCCTGAGCTCTGCACCGTCTGATCTTCACATCCAGACCAAACAGTGAGTTTATGGCTTCATGACTTCCAGCATTATTTAACACCACAGAAACCCGCCATTGCCTGGCATTAATCACTACGGTGACATGTATATTGGTAACCAAAGTTACCGGTTTGTTCGGTAAGGGCTGATTCTAACGATTATAAACCTTGACCAACACCTGCACTGATTCTAATCAATCACAATCCTGACTTGAGGCTGATATTAGACTGAAGTGACCCAGGGCTGAGACAAATTCATGTTTCCTGATCCGAGAGCATTTCTTAAACATCTTGAAAAGAAATATGAAAAAGCTGTGAGGGTATGGCTGGAGAGTGGGGTGAAACCGATTGCAACAGTTATTGAAGAAAGTCTTTTATACAAGCACGATTGTCATTTTTTAAAATGGGTTGATCATAGCCACCGGGTGAGCAAAGACACCATTATATACCCCAGGTGACCATAACCACCAGGGATCGGCTGATCATAGCCTCATCCTTACCTTTAAAGCCCTCTGCGGTTTTTGCCCCAACCGAACTTTGCAAACTCCTTACACCATAAGAACTGTTCCGATTCCTCCCTTTGCCTGTTTAATGTCCCCGGCCTTGCTCTGCCTATCACACCATTGGACTTTCAGGCTATCTCACCCACTCTATGGTATCACATCCCAGGGATCATTTGTCTCCCCAATCCGCAAGTGACCATTGCAAAATGATTTACGATAATCGATGAATACAGTTTGCCTTCATTTGTCCATTTAGGCAATGAGATCCATTCTTGCTTCAAGCAAAGAACATTGTATGTTGACACTTTTTGAACCTGGTTCAGTTTGTGGTGCTCTCTCTCGCCTCTGATTCAGAATGTTGTGGGATGCAGCGCTTACACAACGTTGGAATTCGATCGATGCCAGAATGTCTGAATGGCTTATAATTATGTGTATATAGGACTGGAAATTGGTTTTGCCTTGACTAACACCCATCTGCACTGATGGGGAAGACCTACTTTGTTTGACGCTCTCAGTTCCAAACACACGTTTAAGTGATGTGCCCTCTGTGCCTGTGCTACTGGATGTAAAGAATAACATTTATCCTTACATTTGACGTGGCACTTTTCACGACTTCTTGGCGACTCAAAGCGCTTCACAGAATATACTGTAAAGTGAATTCACTGTATAATCTGTGGGGAAGCGTACATCATTATTCTATCGTACGATTCCAAGTTAAGGGAGGTTATCCATCCATTCGTGGTAATCATAACGGATTAATATTGATGTTAATATTAATATCAGATGTTGTGATCATCTAAATTAATGACAAAAGGCTACTCGTTTCGTAAAACAATATGAACAACATTAAAGCATGTGTATATCAGAGGATTTTTATAGATGGACAGTAGCTGGTCGATTGTTATCAACTTCGTGTTGTTGAGCAACTGGCATATTATCACATTTTTCGATCATATCAACAGAGTTATGTTTTATTCTCATTAATTCTGTGAAATTTAAACCGACCAGGTGAAAGCTGGTGCCAGGCAGAATACAAGCAGAAGTTTTAACTTGAATTGTTCTGCTCATTATGTATATTTCACAAAATATTCCGATCCACAACTGCAGAAAATGTAGATGCTAATACAGTTATGGAAAAGCATTGAAGAAGAAATTGAAGTTTATTATACAGTACGGCATGCGACATACAGACCGATAGACTGTCAGCCATTAAGTTGTGCATGATCTGACACTTTCTTCAAATGAACTTTGACGATGGAGGAAAAGCCGTTTGTGGAAACACAACGAAGATGGTGGGAGAGGTACGACTTAAACCACTCAAAGACAGGGCCTTGAAGTTTGAGGTGGGAGGACAATCGGTGAAGTAGGATAGCGTGGTCGACCCTATGACTGCTGCCGATAGGTCGAGGAGGACGAGGAGGCAGAGGGAGCCCTGGTTGCAGATGGTCAGGATCTCATTGGTGACCTTGACCAGGGCAATGTCTGTGCTATGGGCAGCACGGAAACCCGACTGAAGCGGTTCGACTAATGAGTGGATGGAGAGGAAAGAGCGCAGCTGGGAGCCGACAACTCATTCCAGGACCTTGGACAGAAAGGGGTGGTTGGAGATGGGCCGTTAGCTTGATAGCTGCGACGCATCAAGGGAGGGTTTTCAAAGTGGGAGTGATGGTGGCCATGTTTAGGGGAATGGCAACAGAGCCAGAGGAATGGGACAGCTTGATGATCTCTGTGATATGTGGGGCAGGAGGTGAAGCTGGGAGATAAGGAGTGGAGTGGGAATGGGGTCCAGGGAGCAGGTGGTGGATTTCAGTTATAGGATGAGTTTGGTGACAGAGGGTGGGGCAACGGGTACGAAGGTGTGTAGGGAAGAATGGGTAGGAGTCGGAGTGGGTGGGAGGGAGGGGCAGGGTGTCGCTGGAGGTTGGAGGGGATGTACCGCGGAGCGGATTCCCTTGATTTTGGTTTCAAGGAAATCCAGCATCTCCTCACAGTGAAGGTTGGAGGCGACGACCTGCGCGGGGTGGCGGGGTGGACGGAGGAGTCGAAATGTGATAGAAAACAGTAGCCTGGGTTTGTTCTTCGTCTCCAGGATTATCCTGGAGTAGAAGGACGACTTGGCCGAGGCTAGAGTGAAAAGGTAGATTTTGAGGAAGTCCAGCCAGATTTGTCGGTGGACCGTTGGGCCAGATTTGAGGCAGGTGCGTTCAGCGGCCCGCACCTGGCTCTTCAGTGAGTGGGGGTGGGTGGTGGGGAGGAGCGAGAGTAGAAGACAGTACGGGAGATGATGGGGGCAAGAGCGTCGAGCGTGGAGGAGAGGGTGTTGTGGAGGAGGGTGAGAGGAGGAGAGGGGTCAGTGAGGGTTGAAGGTCAGAGGGAATGGAGTTCAGATGACTCCAAGGCAGCGGTTAGGGATTGTGGGGTTAACTTTTCCAGGGGTGGTAGAAGATGGTGGTGGGTCTGGTGGAGGTGGGGAGGAGGGTGGAGATGGTGAAGGATATGAAGTGGAGATCGGAGACGGCCTTGTCGGCAACGGTGACATCTGAGACACTTAGGCCCCGGGTGACCAACAAGTCGAGTGGGTGGCCATGACTGTGAGTGGAGGAGTTGATGTGGAGGGAGAGGTTGAGCGAGGAGAGCAGGGAAGAGAAGTCCGAGGAGATGGAGCAGGAGGAGGTGAAGTGCAGGTTGAAGTCGCCCTGGAAGATTAGGCCATCAGAGCAGAGGCAGAGAGATGTAAGTAGTGTCGAAATAATGGAGATGAAGGTGGAGGAGGTTTTAGGTGGACGGTAGAGGAGGAGGATTTTGAGTGAGAGGAAGGAGGGGTGGGAGAGGGTGACGTGCTTGAAAGAGGGGAAAGAGCCAGAGGAGTAGAGTTACAGGACAATCGGTGTCCTTGAGATAAGGGCTAAACCACCGCCACGTCGTTGTGGCAAGGGATGTGGTGGGAGGTGTAGCCAGGTGGTGTGGCCTCTGTGAGGGGGACGGTGTCGCCTGGGGTGAGCCAGGTTTCCGTTGATGCCATGATGTCAACGCTCACATCATGGATGAACAGGGCCTTTTTGCAGAGGGAGCGGACGTTTTGTAGTCCGATGTAGAGGGAGCGGTTGACCGAAGAGTTTGTGGGGAGGGAGGTGGGTCCAGGTTGTGAGGCAGGGGTGGGGGAATGTGGATGAGAAAGGAGAGGTTCACTATATAGCAGTCCTGGTCCTTGTGTAACAGTCCTGGTTTCTGTATAAGAGGCCTAGTTTCTGTATAACAGGCCTGACCACTGTAAAACAGGCCTAGACTCTGTATAGTATGCCTGGTCTCTCTATTATGGTTCTGATCTCTGTGTAATGGGCCGGGTCTCTGCATAACAGTCCTAGTCTCTGCATATCGGGCCGCGTCTCCATAGAGCAGGCTCGATCTCTGTATAAAATGTCTGGTATCTGTGTAACTGGCCTGGTTTCTGTGTAACGGACAGTCCGGATCTCCATATAACAAGCTTGTTCTCTGTATAACATCTATACAGATACAACAGAAAGACCTATACAATTTGCTGCAAAAAGTGACGTTATTTGAACGACACCCAATTTGAAAATTTTGCTTGATTAAACTTGATGAATAAAGCCTGTATTTCTATCCTGTGTAAACCGATTTGGACTTTAGCGTTCTATTAACTGACGTGATGTCTTCAAGGGAAATCTTGATTTTTTGATAATTCCTTCACGTGATGGACAACAGAAATTTCCAACAGACAGTAATAATAATAATAATCCTTTCATTTGATATAGCGCTTTTCGGGTCGGGAGGACGTCCCAAAGCACTTCACAGAACACACTGTAAAGTGAATTTACTGTATATTTGTGGGCTAACGCGGCAGCCATTTGCGCACAGCAATGCTGCACAAACAGTCGTAGATAGAAAATGACCAATTTATTATTGTTTTGATTTCTGGAGGGATTATTATTAGGATCTGTGTGGAGTAAGGAAACTTGCCCGAGGTTTCGCCCCCTGCCTGGAATTGAACTCAGGTCTTTTTGATTAATATCTTACAAAGCGAGTGCTCTAACCACTGAGCTACGGGACTCCACACACATTGTGTGCCGTTCTTGCTCAGTAGTATCTATCTCACCTCTGGTTTGAGGTTCAAGCCCCATGTTGCGACATGGAATTGTATTGTATTAACTAAATTTCCAATGTAGTGACGCAGGTGCCGTCCTTTGGATGAAACGATCAACTGAGGTCTGGCTGCTTGTTCGGGTGGAGATTAAATAACCAATGGAAATAAACTGTTCCGAATGCAGGGCATGAACCATGAATATTCTGAACCAAAAAGGACAGTTCTTCTGAGCTACAGAGACAGACTGAAATACGTACACTTTATTGCTTTTCAGTATTATTCTTGCGACAATGAGTGAGGAATCTTGTCTCAAACTGGTGACAGATATTCCATTATTTACCCATAGTTTTTTACTCAATATGGACATTTGAACTGTAATTCTAATTACTGGGAACATTCTGATTAAGCCAGGAACATTGTTGAATTAAATAAATATTTGTAAAATTGTGTGAAATAAAGCGCATGTTCCAATCTTGTGTTTTTGTGTCCATAGCTTAGTTTTGTTTTGAGTAATGAACAGTGTGAGTACCACAGCACTGCTGTCTTGACGGACTTTGACATTGCAATGAGATAAGGAAGCCATCATCCAGCCAAAGGGGGAGTAGTAGATCTTTCTGTCTTTCAAAGTGAAATATCAGCTGTTAAACTGCAAGAGAGGAAACTGGCAGATATTGTTTCGGCAACTTAATTTCATTGTTCTGAAATCGGTAATAATTTTCATTTCGTTCATCTGAATTAATACAGATTATCAAACTAGATATTTTTATGAGCACCACTGAGTTGGTAAAGGTAAGCGCGTTAACAAAATAAGAATGTTTTGTTTTTCTCAGAAAGGCATCAGAACTTCATGGAAACAGTCCACTCCCTTAAAACATTCCAAACAAAACATTTTGAATTTTAAATCAAATAAAGATAAATGTAGATTTTATACAGATAGTTGTTAGGAGGTGGAATTCCCAGCATGAATGTCTGGCTAAGGTAGATCCGTATTCCATATTAAGAGCGTTTGATTAATATCTGGAACAGAAAGAAACAACGTTGAGGGGTAAAGAGCTGGAGAATGGGGTGAAACTGTCAGCATCCAATATTGAAAAAAGCCTTTCGAAAAAGCACGATTGTCAATGTTTTAAATGGTTTGATCATAGCCACCGAGTGATCATAGTCAGCACATATCCCCAGGTGATCATAGCCACCACGTACCGGCTGATCATGCCCAGGTCCTTACTTTTAAAGTCGTCCGCGATCTAGTCCCACCTGACCAGTGCAATCTACCCTCACCCTACGAACTGATCCGCTTTCATCTTTTGCCTGGTTAATGTCCCCGCCCTGTCTTGCCTACCCACCATTGGAAATTGGGCTTTCAGTCTATCTGCCCCCACTTTCTGTAACTCCATCCCAGGTCCTTGCCTACACACTTGTTTCCTGCCTTTCAGGTCCAACTCAAAAACTTACTCTTTGACTGTCAACCTTTCTCTCCACCATTAAAAAAGCCCAAGCATCAGTCCGATACAAACCCTTGAACATTCAGCGAATTGGGACGTGCTCCCAACAGGAAAGATGCTGTATACAGGCAATCTCTCAATGTTATCTTGTTACTGAACCAGGTGGGTACATGGTGTTCCACAGTGCTGATGAAGGATAACTTCACCTGACTCATTGACAGGACGAGAGAAGACCAGTCGCTGCTTTTGACAGCAATTGGAACAATCGGATATTAACTGTAAATAAACTCCCTGCTGCTTCAATAAAACTAAACTGTTAATTATCAGATATCGAACTCCGAGATAATGTATCTCAGAAACAGTTCGTAATGCATTAAATAAACCTTTCTATAGCGATGTGCATGTACAGAAATATAATGCTGCCAATTAGTCTATATTGTCTTCTTCACTCTGGAGGATGTTCAACTTGAGTCCAGTCAGTGAGCATCACATATACAGCTTTTCCACTTTCCAATCAACCTCGTTGCAACAATACAATCCGCCGTCTTCCTCTTGATTTTCACCCAACGGATACCATCCAGCAAAACATTCCTTCCCTGCTGGAGCACATCAGCAAGAACAGGAGATAACGGAGCTCTGCATGAATAAAAACCCAGCCCATAAGTCATCTCCTATCACTATTAGACGATCTCCTTGTTTTTTTTTCCATTTATCGTGCAAAACATCTGCTTTTACCTTCATTCTTCTCAGAAACATATCCAACCAAGCAAAGCAAGTGTAACAAGCATCAATCAAGGACACTTCACTAAATTGTCAATAAACTCTCCCGGGAAAGCAAAGACACATGAAGGCCATTAGTTGCAGAAACAAGTGTCTGGTTCACGTCAAATGGTTTACAGATTTAGTAACAGACATTCTTCTAAACAAAGCTATAAAAGTTAGATTAGCTATATTACATGTAAAATACACACAAAACCGCATAGTAATCAGTTCGACAGAATAAAAAGGGTTAAAATATTAAAATGATTACAACTCTATTTAATTTGAGCAAAGCTTATCAAAAGCACATATATATTACTATCATGTATCATTGAAATGCCAAGAACAGCTGACGAGGAAGCTTCACTTTGAGAGCGCGCACATTCCAATATATATGTTGAGAGTTCTGCGTAAATTAGACACTACAATCACACACAAATTCACAATAACTACACTTAACAATATATTACATGACCCATTTTGTGACATTCTCTGCGTTCGAGAGGCTCTATACCAAAGATAAAAATACCATCTGCTTATTATGTATGTGAAACACTCAGTGTGGAATGGATCATTTTAAACAAGTAAGAGGAAGCTAGATATATAAACGAAACCGAGCGGAATTGGACAGGGCAATGTCTCCCAGTGTAGTTTTCCGTGTACATCACCTTGAATCATGTTCTTGATGTGAAATGTGCTTTGTAAGTACATATTATTTGGTATTGTAAGTTTCCTTCATTTCCACTTGACATCTCAATCCCTTACTCCCCAAGTCAAAGTACATCTCCCTCTGACATCTTTTGATGGGCTAATGTATGGTCAAATATAGGGAGTTGTACCAACTTCATCCACTGCAAAGCAATTTAGTGAAACATGTTTGTTCGCCTTCAAAATAAATCACATGATTCTATGTTTTCACCAATTTGATGGCTGATTCTGGGTCATTGTACAAAGGTTATCTCTCTCGTTCATCCCCAAGTTACCCAGACTTGGAACAGTATATTATGAAAAGTGCTTTGAGACGTTTTCCTGATGTGACAACTGCAACATCAAATGTGGGAAATGTTACTGTTACTACAATTTTCAGGTGCACTTAGCCATTCAGTGCTCAAGGAGTCCAATTTAGCTCCTACATGAGGGTAAATGAGTTTAAAAGAGAACTTGGGAAGTGAGTGGATCAAGGTGTCGGAGGCAAATGCAAAGTCAGAAAATTAAAACATGAGTAAGAGAAAGGTACGGTGCTCTGAGAGGAAGGACAAGCTGGAGACGAGCTGAATTCTGAGAGCTTCGAGGAGATCAATTGTGAGGTCAAGTCGTTTCTTCAATAATCCTTTTCTGACTGCTGTCCTTTTTTATTGTTCGGAATTGAACCACGAGCAGAACAATAATTACCAGAGACAATGCAATCACCAAGATGAGGCGGGCAAGGTTCGCAATTCCCTGAGTATTCAAGGAACCTGTGAGAAAGACACAGATACAACACTGGTCAGAGAGTAAATTATGATTATTCTAGTGACAGAAGTTCATTTTGTCAGCCGAATATCTCTATAGCGCGGTGATGCGCTTTCTACTGTGGACAGTAGAAATGAATGCACTTCAATAGAGCAGCACAGGTCCCATAGACACCACCTGTGCTCCATAGTTCTGTGGTTGTACCTATGCAATTGACACATGGATATTTGGCTCTGGTTGGAATTAGCGTGGAAAGTTCTCTCCTGATTATCCAATCAAAAAGACTGTTGCAACAACTTCCTGCATTTATATCTTTCCCTTAACACATGATAGTGCCTGGCAAAGGTACGCATGGAAGTATGGTTTGCAAAGTATGGGAGAGGACGACGGATGTGTGAACATAGGAGCCGTTAAAGAGATAATTCAACAAATTAGATTAAAGACAGATAAAGGGAGGTTAAGGGAAGGATTACGGGGAGGAACGAGGAGGACACGGGGCACAATGTCACTATCCCTACCAAGAATCATAGAATAATAGAATGTTTCAGAACAGAATGAGACCTTTCCGCCCATCGTGCCTGTGTCAATGAGATATTTGAAAGAGCTACCAACTTGTCGCAACAACCCGTTCTTAACTCATAGACCTGCATTGCTTTTACTTTTTAAGTGACTACCAACTTCCATTTTGAAAGCTGATGTCGAAACTGTTTCCACCACCATTTAAGCAGTGCAGTCCTACCAACTCTCTGGATCAAAAAATATTTTCCTCATCTCACCTCTGCTTCTTTTGTAAATTATGTTAAATCTCTGCTCTAAGGAGAACAATCCCAGCTTGTCCAGTCTCTCCAAATAATTAAGTCCTTTATCCCTGGTACCGACCTGGAAAAGATCATCAGCTCCCTCTACAAGGCTACAATCCTCTAGTATCCCTTCTAACGTGTGATGCCTAGAATTGGAGACAATACTCCACCTAAGACCTAACCAGCGATTTCTAAAAGTTCAACAGAAGCTCCTTATTTTGTACTTTTTGCCCCAATGTATTAAGCCTAGCATACTGTATCCTTCTTAGTAACAATTTCGCCAACCTGTCCCGCCACCTACAAAGATTTGCATACGTGCACCCCAGGTCTCTCTGCGAAAGCAAACTCTTTAAAACAGCAACAATTATTGTAATTTCCCTCGACTCATTCCTCTACTGAAGATGTTCAAGTCACACTGGTTTGCAACAGCTTCTACCATGTGTCTGCCCATTTCACCAGCCTGGCTGTATCCAACTGCATTCTGCTGCCATCTTCCTCGCTTTTTGCTACGTTTCCAGACTTTGTGTCATCTGCAAACTTTAATATGTTACTCCTATAGGCAAGTCTAGGTCATTACTCCACACGCCAAATAATAATCCCTCCAAAACAAAACAATAATAAATGGGTCATTTTGATTCCACGACAGATTGTGGAACAATGCGGTGTGCAAATGCCTGCCACGTTTCGCCCACAACTATACAGTCAACTCACTTTACAGTCTATCTTGCGAAGCGCATTGAGACGTCGAGAAGACGTGAAGAGCGCTATATCAAATGCAAGGATTTTTATTATTATTAACGGATATTAAAAAGAACAGTAGAACTAACACCGAACCATGGGAGGTACCACTTTATACATTGTTCCAGCCTGAAAAGCAGTTGTTGACTAACACCTTCTGCTTTCTGTCTCCAACCAAAGTTAGACCCATGTTTCCTTACTGTTCCTTTAAACTCATGCCCTTCAGTCTCGCTAATGAGTCTGTATTTTGGCACCTTATCAAACGCATTTTGAAAGTCTACGTACACAGTATTAAATGCATTAACTTCTTCAACCAACACTTGAAGGAACAACTAACTCTAAGTATCGTATTTATAGAGCGTAATATTGAATAGGGTTGAGGGGTGCGGTAAACGGTTGCGGGAGAAGTGGATTGGGAATATCAGAAACGAATGCACCCTGATTGGACTCTATTCTGGTTCATGACCAGTCACTACAGGCAGGGAATATTCCATTCAGATTCTGTTACCGCTACAGCCGAAGCCCTAACTAACGCGAAGGGTGGTCCTAGCTGCAAAAGCAGCGGAATCGCTTGCCTAACAGCGTCCTCCCTCCATTACAAGCCATGTGGGTTTAACTGGAAACCCTCGAGCATTTAACTCAACGCAAATTCTGGAGTTTCGCTCTCATCGACCAACATGCAAAACGATTCAGGATTGAGCAGAAGTATTCCATCCTCCAGTTACAAGAGGGGAAGCTGGGGGAGAGAGGGTAGCAAGTGGTGAAGAGGAGAAGGAGAGCGAGGGGGAGGGGGAAAGTGGGAAAGAGAGGAGATCGAGTGGAAGCGGGTGGATTATGGGCGAAGGAGAGTGGATGCCGGAGGGAGCGACTGTTTGAAGGGGAGAGAAGGAAGTGAGATTGGAGGGGGAGAGTTGCGGGACAGGGGAGGGGGAGATGGCGAGAGTGATGCAGACAGGGCGATCGGGGCAGGGTTGACAGGGGGAGAGGTAGTTGGGCTGGAGATGGGGAAAGGGGCGAGAGAATGTGGAGATAGTGTTGCAGATGGAGGGAGAAAGGGCGGAAAGGGGCAACGGGGAGAAAGGAGAAATGTGGAGAGGTGTGGAGCATGGAGAGTATATTGGTAGATAGTGGGGTAGAGAGTGGGTGAGAGATGCACGGGCGGCGAGAGATGTTGAAGTGGGGAGACGGATGCAAATGGTGGGCGAGAATGTGAGAAAAAGGCGTGGGAGAGGGGAGAAAGACGGGGAGAGAGGTGGGGAGTTGGAATGGGTAAGAGTGAGAGACAGGGAGGGAAAGATGGTAGAGAGTGTTAGAGGGCAGAGAGCTGGAGAGAGACGTGGGAGGCAGGGGGGCGAGAGGTGGAGAGGGGAGAAGAGAGAACGGAGAGAGAAGGAGTGGGAGAGGAGTGAGAGAGCGTAGAAAGTGGGGAAAGTGGATGATAAAGGGTGAGAGAATTGGTGAGATGGGGAAAGTGGTGGGGAGGGCGAGACGAGGAAAATGAGAGATGATGGAGGAGAAGGGGGAGTGCGTGGGAGAGAAGGGAGAAAAAGGGGAGGTGGAAGACTTGGAAAGGGGGAGAGCGAAGCAAGAGACAAGATGGGCGAGAGAGGGGGAGAGTGTTGAAGAGCGTCCGGGAAATGGAGAGAGGGGCGGAACAGGGTGGGAGAGAGGAGACACGTGGGGAAAGGGTGACAGGAGCGATAGAGTGAGCGGAAAAATGGGGCAATGGGGGAGAGGGGCCAAGCGTGAGACGTGTGGGAGTTTAGAGTTTAGAAGCTGTGCAAAGAGGAGTGAGAGAGGGGCAGCGAGTGGGGAATAGAGATGATGAGCAAGAGAGAGATGGGGGTAGAAATGGTGGGAGGTGTGATAGATGGCTATAGTTGGATTAGTATTAGATTACGGAGGAGTGAAGTGTGAGAGGGGGGAGAGATTGTGGGAGAGTGGGGGAGAGAGGGGGAAAGAGTGTGCGAGAGAGGCGGGCAGAGAGGGGGAGAAAAGGAGAAGAGGGCAGGAGAGTGGGAGAGAGTAAGTAAGGCGGAGAAAGAGGAAGAAAGGGGGGAGGGATTGGAGAGAGGGAGAGAGTTGGACGAGAGGTGGAAAGAGGTGGGTAGAGGAAGGGGAGAGATGAGAGCGTGAAGAGGTGTGAGTGAGGGCGAGAGGGATGAGTACGTGAGAGAAACGTGCAGAAAGATCGAGAGAAGGGGGAGAGTGGGAGAGGAGGGACAGATGTGGAAAGCGGCGTGGAGAAGGGAAAGCGGGATTGAGATGAGTGATGTGGAGACAGTGTAGGAGAGAAGGACAGAATGAGGGGAGAGATGGGGCGGGAAAGAGGTGGAGAGAAATGATGTGAGGAGAGGCGGAGAAAGGTGGGTGAGGGGAGAGACGGGGTTTAGGTGGTGGTGGTGAGGGAGAGATTGAAAGGGAAGAGCAAGGGTGAGAGAAAGGAAGAGATGATTTGGGGGCAGTATACAGGTGATAGAGAGTCCGTGCCTTGCGGTCATCTCTCGGGAGTTCGTGTTTGGAAACTATGTTATCGTGGGGATGGGTTCCCGCTCTGGTCAAAGTCTCCAGCCAACACCAGGAGATAGCATGGGAATATGATGGATGGTTGTAAACAGTGGTTAAATAATGATTATAACAGGAGATGCTGTAAATGGTCAAAGACAAACACGTTATTGTGTGAGATTTTACTCAGCTCTTACCAGACACAGAGATTCCCAATCGCTCGCTCTCTGGTGATGTGAACTCTCGGCCATCTATATGTGCAGTATATTTACACCAGAAATTTCCTGCACTGATCTCGGATACGATGAAAATTGCTGTCTTGTTATGTTCCGGAGCTGGTTGTGATGTGATAAACGCGCCATCGCTATACAAAGAGAAATTGCAGCCAGGATAATTCCCAGAACATGAATTTCAGCACTTTCCCCTCGCACAATCACCTGGGCGTCTGACATCATGGAAATGTTGGGCTTCTGGAGATGATCTGGAATTTAAATACAGTAAAGATGATTTTACAAACCTCGAGTAGTCTCATGAACACTGAGAGCTCAGGGTTTGCTTGAGTTATGGGTCTGTGTAAGCGTGGAGTCAGTGTGATCTCTGGGTCAATGTGATTACACTGACTCAATCCCTCAAATAAAATGGATCATTCGCTTCACGGCTGTTTGACGACCTGCGCTGTGATCAAATAATTATTGTCCGTGGTTGTATTAATCTCTTCCCGACAGGGATTTTCACATCTAGCGCCTTCGGACGTCTTGCTGACATTAGCCGCGATGGCCACTGGTTGTTGGTGTAATGCTGTGGGTCAAGTCGTTGTGTTCATACTATCCCCCGCTTCCCAGCTGCTCCATCTATTCTTAGCCCCTACCACTGAGCTCAGAACCTCCCACTGTGCTCACCTTCCCTTGCTCATCACCCTCACCTGTATGCTCACATTCACACCACTGTGTTCACGCACCTGTGCTTACCCAACCACTGTGCTCACATTCACTCCCCTGTTCTTACCAACTCCCTATACTCATACCCCTGTAATTACCGCTCTGTCCTCACAGTTACCACCTGTACTCACATTCGCAACCCTGTGTGCACGCAACTGTGCTGACCCACCCATGTGCTCACACTTGTTAACCTGTGCTTTGTACCGTATTCACATCCAGATTTGAACTCACACAAACCCTCTGTGTTCACTGCCGATGTGCTCAGCCCCTCTGCCCAGTCGGGCCGCACACTCTCTGTGATAACTCCCGCCCACCCTGTTGTGTCAATGCAAGTTGTTGTTATGTCCTGTACCTGAGCAAAATATTCCACCGGCCTCTCTGTGTCCGCAGTCAGGCCGACCAACCACAGGCCCCGATCCTTCGCCAAAGCGACCGCCACCTGAGGCTGATACAGCAAATCCACATTCTAGATATGTACAAATATCTTCTGCAATCTTCATGTCCAGTGTCTCGCCACAAACTGTGCCCCAAGTGTCATTGGTGTACAGTTCTACTCTCCCCACACAGCGACTGCTTCCATTCACCAGTCTGGGTGGTTTACCTCCTACCAATTACATACAACACATTATATACAGCCAAAACTTCAATCATATACAATATACTATTACAATCTGTACTATCACAAACTGCGAAAGATTAACATTGGGTTAGCAGAGGATGTGTGACACACGGTTAGCAGAGGACGCGTGACACTTGGTTAGCAGATGATCTGTGACACTGGGTTAGCAGAAGAGGTGTGGCTAGTTGTTAGGAAGGAGGAGTGACATTAGATTAGGAGAGGAGATTTGCTCACCCACCATGTGCTCCCAACCTTGTGCTCACCTCCCAGGTGTTCAACCCTCCTGTGGTCACAACCCTGTTTTCACTCGCCATGTGCTCCCGCTATGAGCACCAACACCTGTGTACATCCCCTCCTTCTACTCACACACTCCTTATTCTCACCCGACCTCCTGTGATAACAACTCCGAAATCTCCCCTCGCTTGCTGATACCCCACTTCTGCTCATTCCACCCCTGTGCTTACTCAAACATTCTGCTGACTTCCCTATGTCGATCCAACCTTTTCCTCTCCCTCTTGTACTAACACCCGCTTTTGCTGACCACCTGTGCTCAGCCCCTTTACTTGTGTTCATTCCGCCCCATGCGCTAATCACCTCTCCCTGTGTTCAACCCTTTGTGCTCAGCATCCTATGCTCATGAAGCTGTATTGACACATCTTGTGTTCATCCACCGTTGCTCACACCAATGTGTTTTCGTCACTGTGCTTAATCCCTTGTTCTCAACCACCTTGCACACCACACCTAACGCTCACACCAATCTGCTCTAAATCACTGCTCTCCTTCCAATGCGCTAACACTGTTGTGTTCATCCCCACTGTTCTCACCCACCACTTGCTCTCTCCACCCTTTGCTCACAACCCCATGTTAACAACACTGTGCTCCCACTGCTCTCTCCACCCCTGTCCACTCTTCCCCTTTGTGCTCAGAGAACCTGTGCTCACCAAACTGTGCACACCTATCGCTGTGCTAACACCTCCTTATGCTCAACCCCCTCTGCTTATATAACCACTGTGCTAGGAAAGGAAGAGTGACATGAGGGATTAACGGTTATGGAGATGAGGCTAGAAGATCAGGCATGATCTTATTGAATGGCTGGCAAGGATCGTGTTGCCCAATAACCTGCACCTAATCCAAATTTCCATATTCCTATGTACCTGCACCAACCCACCCGGTGCTCAAACCGCTGTGCTCAACCACCCTGTGGTCACCTCTCTGTGTTCGCACACCATTGCTCTCACCGTTCACTGTGCTCACCACCAATGTTCTCATCACCACTTTTGCAATCACCACTGTGCTCACTCTCTTGTTCTCAAATGCACGGTGCTCACGTATCCCCGTGCTCAACGCACCCTGAGATCGTAAAACTATTTTCATCTCCATGGGCTCCCCATGTGCTAAAGATTTCCGTGATCTCCCACACCTTGTGTTCTCAAACCCCATGTGCTCAACCTACCCCCCACCCTTGAATCAAGCCCCTGTGCTAACTCAACCGCTGTGCTCATCTTGTGCTTAAATCCCCCTTGAGCTCCCAGTACATTATCCAACCCCGGCGCTCAGCCGCTCCCCATGTGCTCAGTCCCGCCCCAATCTGCCGAGCCCCTCCCATTTTGCTCATCCCCTTCCCCTGTAATCATTGGCACTCTGTGTGCTCAGCTCCTCCCCCTGTACTCAGCGCTTTGTGCCATCCTACCGCACACCAACCCTCTGTTCACCCATAACGTGTTCACGCCCAAACCCTGTTCTGACACTGAGCATCCTGTGCTCATTCCCTTGCTCACATTCTCCCATTGCATATAAATTCACTGCCCTGTGCGTAGACAAATGTACTTATCCACACTTGGGCTCACACACGCTCGCTTGTGCTTACTTCCCTGTTCTCACACCTATACAATTTACTCACACTCATCCCACTGTGTTTATTCCCACTGTGCTCACTCTCACTCAATGTGGTCAAAGGCACGAGCTAACAATCACTCTGGTGTTCTCACCCACCTGTGTTCAAACTCGCACCCCGTGCCAGAACCCATGTGCTCACACATTCTTGGGATGACAATCAACACCTGAGATGAGCAACCTTTATTCACATTCACTAATTGTACTCACATGCACCTTTCTGTTCTCAAACACACTCCTGACTTTAACTACTAATTGCGAGTCCATCCATGCTCACGCCCATCGAAGGCTCAGACCTAGCCCACTAAGCGCATGCTCACCTGCCCTCTGCTGGCTCCACTGTCCTAATAATCAGCCACCTCTTTTACAGATCAAATCCTTGTGCTCAAATTCACTCTACTGGGCTCACGACACCAACCAGCCCAACCCCCTTGCCCGACGCTATCTGAATGCATTCAATTATTATGGATTGTACCTGAACAGAATACGCCACCATCCTGTCCGTGTCCGCAGTCAGGCCGACCAATCACAGGCCCCAATCCTTCTCCAAAGCGAGCGCTACCTGAGGCTGACAGAGCAAATCCACATCCCAAGTATTTACAAATATCTTCTGCAATCTTCATGTTCAAGTTCTCGCCGCAAAGTGTCCCCCAAGTGTCCTTTGTATGCAGCTCTACTCTCCCCGCACATCGGCTGCTTCCATTGACCAGTCTGGGGGGATTGCCTCCTGCCCATTACATACAATACATTACGTTCAGCCACAACTTCAAACATATACATAATTAACACAATCTGTACCATCACAAACTACAGACATGTGACATTGGGTTGGAAGTGTAGGATTGACAATGGGTTAGGAGAGAAGGTTTGAGACTGGCATAGCAAAGAAGTTGTGACCCTGGGATAGCCAAGGTGTGTCCAGCTTACTGTGCTCAAAAGTATCCAATTTATTCATACTCAACATACTGTGTTCACTCCCCATGTGCTCAAACCATTTGGCCTATAATAACCCCTACGCTCAACGTCATATCGTCACAATAATACGCTTGTGCTCACACTCACAATATGTGCCAAACCCATATTCTCAACCAATACTGTGACCACCATCATCCCATGCGCAGAGCAACATATGTTCACCCTCAGCCCATATACACGCATTCACTCTACCGTGTTCACAAATAAAGCAGTGCAACGTCCCTAGAGATAACCAATCTGTCCTCAATTGAATCCCTGATTCTCACCTAATAAGATGTTTTCATGCATACCTGCCCTATGCTCAACCCAAGGTTCTCACAGCTACCACGCTTGCAAACACTCATCATCTCTTAATCACACTCATTACCCTGCATTCCTCCGCAGCACTCGCCCTCCACCACTACCCACCTCCACACCCCCACCTCCACCACATGGTGCTGTGTGAATGCTCGTTGTTGTTGAGGTCTGTACCTGAACAGATTATGCCACCATCCTTTCCGTGTCCACAGTCAGGCCGACCAATCACAGGCCCCAAGCCTTCTCCAAATCGAGCGTCACCTGATGCTGATACTGCAGATCCACATCCTAGATATCTACAAATGTCACCTGCAATCTTCATGTTGAGAGTCTCGCCACAAACTGTCCCCCAAGACTCCTTGGTGTACAGCTCTACTCTCCCCACACAATGGCTGCTTCCATTCACCAGTCTAGGGGATTACCTCCTGCAAATTACATACAATACTTTATCCACAACTGTACCTTCAAAAATATATACAATTAAAACAATCTATACCATCACAAACTGCGGCCGTGTGTTATCACTGGGTTCGCAGCGGGGGGGGGGGGGGGGGGGGGGGGTGATTCTGTGCTAGTAGAGGGTGTGTGACGCTGGATTAGCAGAGTAGGCATGATGTTGGATTAAGGGAGGAGCTGTGAAACTGTGTTCGGAGAGGAGGTGTAACGCTGGGATAGAAGAGTAGGTGTGACACTGGTTTATCAGAGAATGTGTGACACTGCTTGAGGGGAAAAAGTGTAACACCGGATTAGGAGAGGTGGAGTGACACTGGGATAGCAGGTCAGGTGTGACAGTGGGTTACCGGGAGGTGTGCTCACCTCCCTGTGTTCAACAATTTGCTCATACATCTCCCGTGCTCAAGCCCCTGTGCTCACCACACTTTTCTAATCCCAACGCTACTCAGCCCCCTGTACTTTTCCACCCTGTGCTCACTCGACCACCACCCACCACTTTGCTGAAACCTCCTTGTGCATACCCCTGTGCTTACCCTCCTATGCTCAACCCCACCTGTGCTCACCCACTATGCTTCCTTCCCGGTGCAACACCCTGTGCTCTCCCGCCATATGATTACACACCCGCTGGATTCACCACTCCTCAGCTGACTCCCTTGTTCACCCATCCGTTCTCTAAAACCCACCAGGTTCACCCCCGGATTCACCAACTCTGTTCACGCCCCCATGTTTTTCAGCCCCTTCCGTGAACAACCACTGCATTGTGCACACCTCCCCCATGCTTAACACCCCCCTACTCCCACCTCCCTCTTTGCTCGCGTGATCCTCTTCTTACCCCGTACTTACTCTCCAGTGCTCACACGCGTCTTTGCTCCCCCATTGTGTACTCTCTCACCTGTACTAACACTCTTCCTGTGCTCAACCACCTGTGTTCCACCACTCTGCTCAATTTCGTGCGCTGTCGATGCACACGTTCCTTTATCATCCAAGTGTGTTAACCCTCGATTGATCTCACATCACCTTTGCTCACTCAGCGCCATTTGCTCACCCGCGCCTTCTGCTCAACCACGCAACCCTGTGCTCACTCCCACAATGTGGTCATCTCTTGTATCACCACTACGCTGTGCTTACCATCGCCTTCCTGTGCTCATTCCCAATGTCACACGTTTCACAGTGCTCAGTTTCCCTTTGCTCATTCCCAAGCGTGATTACCCCGCTCTGCTGACACAACCTGCTCACGACCCTGAGCTACCATCCCAGCCACCCGTGCTCACCCCACTATGCTCAATCCACAGTACTCACCGCCCCTGACACCAATTACCTGTGCTCTCCCACAACCTGTGCTCCCGCACTGTACTCACGTTTCCCACCTACTCCCCCACAATGTGATCTGCTATCCTTGTGCTTTCCCACTGTGCTCATCCTCCCCAGTTTAATCAGCCCCTCCTGTGCTTCCACTGTACTTTTCACCCATGCTTGACTACATAGCTCTCGCCCACCTTGCTCACCCCTCCGTTTTTTTCACCCCGTGCCTGGGCTCACCTCTCTCCGTGTGCTACCTCCAGCTTACTTTTCCGTGCTCAACCCTCCATCTGTGCTCCCCCCATTTGTGCTCACCAACACTCTGTTCTGCTCCACACTTGCCCTCGCCCCATTTCCTCTCTCCCACGATGCTCAACGCGGCGCCCAAGAGATCACCCACATTTGCTCATGGCCCCTGTTTCAGCCCTTGTACTCAACTCATTCCACTCCGTTGCTCAACCCGCACTGTACCAACCGCTCCTTCCCAGGGCTCAACTCTGACTCTATGTGCACCATTCCCTTCAACCCTCCCATGCGCTCACACCCCGGGAACCCTCTGTGCGCAAATCAGCTCTACTCAACTACCCTGTTCTCACCACCCTCTACAAAAAGCCCACAACCCATGCTCAAAACCGACCCATGTTCTCACCCCTTTTTGCTCACTGAGCCCTGTGAACAGCCCATTTACTCACTCGCCCGTACTCACCACGATTGTGCTCACACCCCCCAGCCGCTAAGCAGTCTCACAACATCCAGTTCTATTCATTTCCATTGCTCATAATCCTGTGCCAGGCTTCCATATGATCCCTGCTGTGCTCAGCCTTGAGATTATCCCACGTTAGTGTAAACAGCCTCCCCATCTACTCGCGTCAACTGTGCACATCTCTCCTGTAGTCTGCCCTTCGGCTCATCAACCTCTGTGCTTATTACTCCCCATTTGCTTCCCCCTGTTCTCACCCAATTTACTACACTCCTGTGCTCAATTTCTGTGCCCCACCCCCGTGCTCTTCACCTACACTCAACAAACCGCACAAGTTCCTCATCCCCTATTACTCTCCCAAGAACACGGCTCTTTGGTGCAACGCTGTGCTCACCCACCCCCGCTATTCACTCCGGTTTAACTCCCTCTTTGATGACCCATTTGCTTCACCCTCCAGACCACCGTTCTCGTCCCTACCCCACGAGGATCAGATGACAATGAGACACATTAATTTACCTGAGCAGATGACACCGACATCAGTAGAGTGGGACCAGCGGTGGTGATCCCAGGTCCATGAGGGACATTCCCGCAGCGCAGACTCGCTCCCTTTGCAGCGGACATCACACGTCACAACGACTCCTGATCCACTCCCAAAGGGAGATCCCATTGAGGCTGAGAGCGCGGCTCCGCAGCCCAACTCCAAACATACCACAGCCGCGGCCTTCATATTCCATGTGTAATACAAATAGCTCTTGCCATAGCCACCCACTGTGCCCCATTGCCCTCTGTGGTAAACCTCCACTCTCCCAGCACACGGGCTGCCGCCATTCACCAGCCTCACGCTCGCATTCTCTGTAAAACATCACACAAATTATTAAGAGGCTATTTCCAGTTTGACTTCCAGTCACCCAGGCTAACACAATATAATGCACACCAACAGAGCGCCTTTCACATTGGGAGAGGGCCTGGGGCTAAAGAACACAAAAACAACAATAGTGCAACAAAAACAACAATAATGGTTTGAGTGACTGCTGGCTAAATACAGTCCACAACCTGGGTGTCAAAATGACACAAACAGTTTATTATATTACAAGCTGTACCTTCTGCAGCTACGTTTGTAAACAAAGGATCAAGATATGTTGGAACCGGATGATGGTGGGGTGAAATGTTCGCGGAGCCTGTACGGGAGTGGATACGGGCTGCAGAGTTAGATCTGGATGATCAGCAGCCTGTGGAGGGAAGAGTTGGCGAGGCGGACAAGAAGTGAGCTTGCATAGATTAGCTTGGATGTAGTTAAGGCGTATACGACGATTTTGACGGACTGCAGTGTGAGACAGTGGTGGAGCCTGGCGACGCTGCGTAGGTGGGGGAAGGCAGAGCGTGCGGTCGCAGATTTGAGGTAGAAAGCATAGTTGAAAGTCAAACAAGGCCCCAAGGTTCCAGAAAGACTTATCAATGTGGAGTGTGCAACCATGTTCAGTGATACTATCAGCCCCCGAGGTAAGGACGCGTTGACAGGAGCCAATCAGGAGAGCCTCGTTCTCGTTGACGTTTAACTGAAGAATGTTTGGGTGGGACCTTGTGCTGGGCACGTGGGAGGGGGTTCTTTCATCACCTCCGGAATGTCGCAAGACTAGGGCACTACCTCACCCCTCACACGGCTGAAACTCTGGTCCACGCCTTCATCACCTCAAGGCTGGAATATGGGAACTCTCTCCTCGCCGGCCTTCCCGGCCCTCCCTCCACACTGCAGGTCATTCAGAACTCTGCAGCTCGTGTACTGTCCCGCACTAGGCTTTGGGACCACATCACTCCCACCCTCGCCCTCGTACGCCTCCACTGGCTCCCCATCCCCCAGAGGATCGAATTCAAGATCCTCATCCTCACCTACAAGTCCATTCACGGCCTCGTTCCCTCCTACACCTCGGATCTACTATCCCCCAACTTACCTGCCCATACCCTCTGTTCCTCTGGCTCCGGTCTGCTCCACATCCCCCGCCCCAACCGCCCGACCATCGGTGTCCGGGCCTTCAGCCCCGAGGCTCTGGAACTCTATCCCCCAGTGCCTTCGCCGCCTCCTCCCTTTCCACCTTCAAGGCCGGTCTCAAGACCTTTCTCTTTGACCATGCCTTCAGCTCCCCTCTCGATTCACTACCCCTTCCTCGCCCCCTCACTTCCCTCCCCTCACCCTGACCATTTCCCCCCAATGCTCGGGTCCTGACCCAACTGTACAGCGCCTTGGGATGTCCTCGCGAGGAGAAAGGCGCTCTGTAAATGGAATCTTGTTGTTGTTCTGTCAAGAAAGCAGTGTTCCGGTAGTGAAGGGTGAGGCAGAGAGGTAGAGCTGAGTATCTTCTGTATAAATGTGGAAGTTGACCCCATGACTGCGGATGATGGATTCAAGAGAGAGTGCATAGATATTTTACAGGAGTTGACCAAGAAAATTGCACTGAGCAACGCTGCACTAGAGAGTCAGTAGGAACCAATTAGTCAATTGGTTGATCTGTTATCGTGGCAAAAAATGATTTTGCTCAATCCATGATGGTTCTTAGGATGCCACTGTGTGCGTTTGGCTACAGCCAGAGGGGTGGGGGTTAGGCATAACAATTCAGCAAACCGCACAACACAACCCCAAGGCACAGCCCCCATCCCCGCACCACGGGAACAACCCCTCCCACAATTCACAGACCCCACAAACCTCTACGGATACAGCTTCCCCCCAACGGCACAGCACCCTGACATCCTGCTCCAGCGAACAAAACATTCCAGCCATACACAGTTCCTAGTCACAGACCCGCAAAGGTACAGACTACCCCAGGGGAAATACATCACGGCAAAGCTCACCACAGGTCACAGTTCTCATTCAGGTAGAGCCCACACAACGCCCAGAACTGACAGATACCCAGGCACAGCCCAGCCCCCAGGCCAAAGCCATATTACAAGGAACAGACACGACCCCAGTGCACATTCCCACCCGGAAAGCATATCCGCACACCTCTCCCCAGTACCCAGGATAAACTCACACGCAGGGCACAGAACCCACCAGCCCACACCCCCACACCGAACACACAAAGAAGAGCCACAGAACCACCTCACATGTGCCAAGCACAAAGCTCCCCACCCAATGCACAGAATAATCCCCACATACAAACCTCAGCCACACGCCCCTCCCCAGTGCCCAGCATACACCACACACGCACTCTGACTCAGCCGACGGCAGGCTAATAACCATTCCCCAAGGAACACGCATTCACCCAGGTAACAGCCTACACTCAAACCGGTACAGCATCTTCCCAGTCGCAGCATAACCACATCCCACCGGTAACGGGGACCTATCACAGCCCCATCACCCGAAGGCATAATCAACAACACCCAGGCACAGACCCGCCCAGTCCCAGACAACACCAGACACAGCAAAGCGAGTGCCCAGCCCCCAAGCAGGCTCAGCCACACCCAAATGCACAACCGATAACAATGCACATTCACTCTTCCTCAGGGTAAAGACCCTCCACCACACCGCAAAGAGTGCTGAAGGCACAGAATCCAGACTCACACATGAAACAACCGTACCCCAGGCAAAGCCCACTTTAGACACAGAACCAACCGGGGAACTGCACCTCCATCAGGACACAATCCCCGCAACATGTCACTCCACCCCACAAGGCCGAGTCCCAACCCAAATGCCCAAACATAACCGCCGGCACAGTCACTGTTCAGTGACTTGGGACGTCCTCCCAACAGGAAAGCTACTGTATATAGTTATTACTGTTGTTATTATCTAGTCGCTGAGACAAGTGTGTTCAATTTAAGTGCTTGATCACATCAACAAAAACAGAAGATGATAAAAATAAGAACACAATAATAATCCTTTCATTTCATATAGCGCATTTCACATCTTCTAGATGTCTCAAAGCGCTTCACAGAATACGACTAACCCTAACCAGGTCATTTCTTATCAACATCCACACCATTTGATTGTTTGTTGGTCCCATTTCTCACTCAAAATATCAAAATATCTGAAGTTACATTCATTCTGCTTTTAAATGTATGCAACCAAGAAAGGGAAGAATAAAAATATCAACCAATGAACCGTCACAAAATTGTCAACAAAACGTCTCCGGAAAACATAGGTGGAAAACGACTGGCTGTTTCATTTCAAAGGCTTACGAGTTTCTTAGCTATCAAAGTTTAAATGTTAGATCACATCTATTATTTGTAAAATACACAGAAAATCTGCATAATAATCCACCAACATATTAAAGAGTGTTAAGATATTAGATTGATGGCAACTACATATTTAATATTAGCAGGACCCTCCTCCAGTTCACAGTAACAAACCCAGAGCAATGCCGACCCCCTCAGGCACAACCCTCATCCAGGTCTCAGCCCATCCATTCCTCAAACCCCAGGCACGTCACCGAGTTCCAGTCACACTCAGGCATAGACCTTCCCCATTGCTCAGCTTCCACCTCCACAGGGAAGGGATCCTCCCCAACCGAGCGAAGCAGCCCACCAGCACCCTCACCAGGCACAGCCCCCGCCCCCCAAGGACACAACCCCCACATAACAACAGCAACAATAAGATTACTGTTGCATCACGCCTTTTACATCGGGAGGACTTCGCAAAGTGCTGGAAAGTGGAAGGCATTTCAAACCTGAGAAGGGGTCAAAAGGGAAGAAGAGAGGCGAGGGTGTGTGATGGCCGATGGCATGGTCATACCCATAGGCCTTGCCCCCAGAGAGCATATACCTCCTTGCCCTAGTCTTCAACTTCTCTCCCCAGGGCACATCCCCTCCCACACCCAAGTCACAATCCTCCCTCACGGCACAGCCACTCTCTTCAGTGCACAGCCACCACTACCCCACCCAAAAATGCTCATCCCCCAGTGCAGAAAACCCTCTCCCCACTGCTCCTCATTCCCGATCACAGACCCTCATGGGCACAGCTCCTCCACCAGTGCATCGCTACTCTGTACAGGGCACAGCCACCTTCCAAGGCACAGACAGTGCCAGGGACGGCCACCACCCCAACACACCAGGCACAGGCCACATGGCCCAGGCACAGCAGACCTGCCTGCAGGGCACATCTCCACCATTCACACGAGTAAATCCGCCCCCCTCCCCAAGTGCATTCCCTCATGCACCGCCCTTCCCAAGATCACAGACACACCACAGATTCCTCCCACCAGGGCAGCGCCGCTCCACAGTGCCAACCAATTTGAGGCACAGCCCCTCCCACATGGCCCTAGGCCTCACTCCAGCCCAGCGCCCTTCAGAGCGCATGACGTTGCAGAATGAAGGGGCAAGGCGTACGGATAGAGGAAGAATCTTCCAGGTTCACCAAGCGTAGTCACCAACGGTGAAACGATGACAAGAGGGACAAGAGGAAGTTTCGAACCAATCTATTAAGCTGCCCTGTGGATTGTGTAAAGGTTTCTCCTCCTGTTCCCTAGATTGAGGTGAGGAGAGGCCGAGTCTCACTCTCAGCAGCTAATTTTCCCACAGCAGCTCCTGACTGTGAGTTTGTGTCACTGACCTGCACATTCCACCGTCTTCCTCTCCAGAATTATCACTGCACAAGACAAAAAAGCGAGACCAAAGCAGGCATTATTAATACAGTAATTCACACGATCGGAATCTGATCAGCCCGATATCTCACACCATAAATATTCGGTCCTTAACTACAGGGTAGCCATTTAAAGTCAGCTTCATAAAGTGCCCCAATGAGGAAATGGGCACGAGCACAGGCGCGACAGGAAGAGAAAAAGCACGGAATGAGATTAGAGTTGGGACGTTCAATGTGCGAGTGAGCACCAGCATAGGCACGACAGTGAGCAAGCGAGCAGTGAAACCGGAATAGCGTACTCCATTTGGTGAGCGAGCATGAGCAAATTTAGCACTCAAACCGTGGTAGAAATCTGGAATTCTCTCTCCTCTCCCTACTCCCTCTATCCTCTTCTCTCCACTGTCTCCACTCTTCTCCTCTGTCCTCTCGTCTCTCTCTCTCTCTCCTATCCTCTCGCCTTTCTCCTCTCTCCCCTCCCCTACACTATCCGATCTCTACTCTCCCCCCTCTCCTCTCCTCTATCCTCTGTTATCTTGAACTGTATCCGTTGAGTAATGGGGAGACTGTGGAGGCCGTTGAGGAGGGTGTTGTTGGGTCGTGGAGCCTGGTGCGGGAGAAAACGCAGACTGCGGTGTTCTGGATCATCTCCAGCCTGTGAAGGGAAAAGTTGGGTAGGCCGTCAAGCAATGAGTTTGCATAGTCGCGCCTTGATGGGATGAATGCATGGATTAGGATCTCGGTTGCCGGCGTTCAGAAACAGAGGCGGAGTCCAGCAGTGTTGCAGACCGGGGGAAAGGCGGTGTGGGTCTTGGCCTAGATGTGTCGTAATGAAGAACAGTTGATGGTCGAACAAGACGCCAGGGATGATTTGTGTTTGCGTTAGAAACAGTACTCACTGAAACATAAATTGAAGAAATATAATGGCTTCATCCTGAGGATGGTGAAGTGCTGCTGAGGGTAAAAGTATTGAAGCTTGTATCTGTGTCGGAAATTGGATGTGAGGGGGGCATCCGTACACTTGGAAACAACACACGGAGGAGATCTCAGGTTTAGCTTTGGCGGCGATCGCTGCACACTGAGCTAAGTGATCCCCAAATACCCACTTCCCTATGACACAAACACTGTGAGACTCACCCTATCAGCAATGACCACAGGAAAAGCAGCACAGCTCATGATGTTTTTACTTGAATTACAATACCCCCTGTCCGTAGTACCTCCGCCCACTGTCAATGTGCATTTGGTGGTAATTGTTAAACCTGTGAGATCTGAGATGGGGATCTGAACTGCGCAGGGCTGCATGGTTTTCATTCGTTAAACGCCAGCAGTTACCTTCAACTCTGGAAAGCATATTTAGGCCAAGCAGAGGGTGCAGAGAACGTTTACCAAGATGATACCAGGTGTGAGGGATTACAGTTATATGGAGACAATGGAGAAGCTGGGACTGTCCTCCTTTGACCAGGGAAGTTTAAGGGGTGATTTAATAGACTTACTGATCAAAATTTTGAAAGGCTTTGATAGAGTAGCTGGGAGAAATCGTTTCCACTGGCGGTTGGGTTGCTAACAGGGGCCAGATATTTCATATATTTTGCAAAAGAACCAGATGGAATACCAGACAACGAGAATTTATTTTACGCAGAAAGTTGTTACGGTATGGATCGCGTTGCCTGAAATGGTGGTGAAAACAGTTCAACAACAAATTTCAAAAGTGAATTGGATAAGTACTTTGAAAGGGAATTGGATGGTGACTCGGGGTGTCGGGGGATTTAAAACCTAACCCTGACCCTAAACCTGATACTAATCTCAACTTCTATATTTTCGGTGGAAATTAACAAAACGGTACAAAATAGAAACAGTCAGAACTAGAAAGAGGAAGAAAAGATGAGAAAGAAGCTGAGCTGTGAGAACGGGTCTCTGTGGTTTTCCTATATGAAAGTATCGCTGTACTTCCCTCATCATATCACCAGACCAGCTCAACAGGCTGTCAAGAGCAAACAAAACCTACTTGCTGTCTGTCATTCGGTCTGCAGGTCTCTCGGTCATTCCCTTTCTTTTCTCAGTCTCTATCTGTTTGACTCACACTGATTGATTCTCACAAACTCAGTCCCTCTCTCTCCATCTCTCTATCAAGCACTGTGTGTCATACAATTACTCCCTCTCTCTTACGCTGTGTCTCTCACCCACACTCTCTCACATTCACAGTCTGATTCTCCACTTGAGGCTCTCAGTTGTGTTGATAAATTCAGATACAGTTTGTACCTTGTTGAGGAAAGATATTAAGGATTCGGCGACACTATTTAGAAAACAGAAGGGAGTTGTTGCATATGTTCATGTCCGTACCAGTTAAATTCAATCTATGTGAAAGGAATAATATTTACGCGGTGTCAAATGGCAACGTCTGAAACACTGTTGCGGCGTTACTTTAGCAGTGTTACCGAATATAATCCGCCAAATACAAAAAACATTCCTGTAAAAAGGGCTGAAACATTGAACTGCAAATGGAAAAACAACAGAAGTAGAGTAGCTCTTTACCAGAGTTTTGTTTCTATATTTCCCTGGACATTAAACCATCTTCGAATCTCTAATCTGTATTTTTAGTAATAAAGACCATATTTACATTTCCTATAGCGCCTCAACACGTCTTGCAGAGTATTGAGAGAAATATTCAATATTTCAGAAAATACATTATTCAGAAACAAAGTGCATTTATGTCAGATAACGTGAAGGTAGCGTATGAAACTCACAATTTTAATCAGGAAAATCAGCAAAGCTATTGAACATCAGCTTTCCTTTCTGTCCCACATCCATTCCCTGACCGGTACGACTTTTTTCCACTTCCACCACATTGCCGGCCCCCATCCGTTCGTGCAGTCCTGTAGCTCAGTGGTTAGAGCACTCGCTTTGCGAGCGAGAGATCTGCGTTCAATTCCACGCAGAGGGCGAAACCTTGGGCAAGTTTCCTTACTCCACAAAGAGCCTAATAATAATCCCTCCAAAACCCAAAACAATAATAAATTGGTCATTTTCAATCTACGACTGTTTGTGGGACATTGCTGTGCGCAATTGACTGCCGCGTTCGCCCACAAATATACAGTCAATTCACTTTACAGTGTGTTCTGTGAAGCGCTTTGGGACGTCCTCCCGACGTGAAAAGCGCTATATTAAATGTAAAGCATTATTACCTCACGCCGACAGCAGCCGAAACACTCATCCACTCCATCTCATTTCCCGGCTGGACTATTCCAATACCCTCCTTGCGGGCTCCCCAGCTCCACAATACACAACATTGAATTAATACAAATCTCCGCCGCTCTGTTTTGAGCAGTTTCACTCTATATGTGAGATATGTGAGGAGAAAGCCGGTGCGTGGATGTGATAGATGGAATCTTTCAATATAATTGGCAAAGCAGTTAAAGGAATGTGAATTTTTTTCTCCAGAAAATTTTTTGAGCTCGTGATAGACATTCCCTTGTTAACCAGTACATTTGTACTCAAGAAGGGTATTTGAACTGGATTGCTAATCACTGGGATATTTTGGATTTTAATCAGGAGCTCAGCTATTAATAATAATCCTTGCATTTGATAATCCCAGGAATCTCAAAAAATTCAGCGGCTGTGACAATGTTGCATCGGGGAGTCACTGCAGATAGTTTGCCCGAATTGGAGACTAATGCTTAGATAAGTAAGGATCATGCTGGCTTCTGTTCTGTGAACAATGTGTTGGACAGGCTATAGGTTTTATAAGATCATAAAAGTTTGTAAGATTCACAGAAAAACCACCTGCGTTACAGTCAACGATTTCTTCACAGAATTGGAGCTGGTGCCCTTTGAACCCCTCACCATTGAAATATGAGTGATGGGAAAAGAGTCACATTTTGCAGTTGATTCAGAATTTTTATTACAAATCAGAGAACGCTGTCAACTGGTCGAGGGCTATGATTCTCGCTTCGGGGCTCTGAAAATTCAAGGAAAAGCAGGAGGTCCGGGTTGAATTTCCGGACGTTGCCGTCTTGCGTATTCTCCAGCGCTTTTGGACGTTAAAGGCGCTCTATGTGTAATGTTGTTCCTATTGTTGTGTGTTATCCTGATCAACAAAATCCTAAAAGCATCGGTGATTCACTGCACGGCTGTTTGTGTGACGTTACTGTGGCAAACTATTCTGGCACCTTCACTCGCAAAATACTGTCACAACTGCAACAACAACAACAACTTGCACTTCTACGGCGCACTTTATTCAGGGTAGAGTCTCTGTTCGCTTAGAAGAATGCCCTTTGCAGTGTTTCCCTTGGAATATCAAGTGATGTCTTCCCGATATGAAAGGCTCTTTGCCAAATGAAACGATTTTTATCTTCCTGGTTGGGGAGTGGCTTACAGGGGCCTCATAGGAGTTGAACTGTCTTGGAGGTGTTGTTCTGCTCACACACTCTCCCTCTACTCCACACAAGGCATAACTTTCACTTTCTCCCTCTCTCGCTCTCTCTCTCTCTCTCTGTCTGTCTGTCTCTCTGTGTCTGTCTGTCTATCTGTCTAACTGTCTGTCTGTATGTCTGTCTGTCTTTCCATCTATCTATCAATCTATCTGTCTATTACAAACTCCCACCCTCACACCCCCATGTGTCTCTCACACTGTCTGTTTCCTTCTCACTCTATGTCTCTCACAATCGGTCTCTCTCTCTATGTCTCCCTTTCTCATTCTTTCTCTTTATGCCTCTCAGATCAGATGAGAAATTGATTTCCAGGTTGTGTCCAATTCAGGTCAGATGCTAAACAACTCGCGCCACTACTGGGAAAAGAGATGGGAGTTTCTCCTGGTGATGGATTCCGTATCAGCTCATTTCAAGCGGTATAAAAGTTTCAATATTAGACATGATTTCAAATGGCAATGGCTTATGTGCAGCTAAACTACTGTTATTGTGTAAGCTTTGCAGCTTTACCGGATACAAAAGCACAATTCACAAACAACGCCCTGCAATAACGGCAGAAATATTTAACCACAAAGTAACAAAAAGATCTGACGTTAACGTCAGAGTTTCCGTGGAAGGTTTTTTTCCTCCACATTTCTCTCTGTAAGGAAACCGTCTTCGAATCTCCAAAGTTCTTTTTAACAATATTAGTAATCCTTGCATTTGATGCAGCGAATTATCACGTCATCAAAGCGCTTCACATGATATACTGTAGCGTGAAGTGACTCCGTGTTTATGTATGGAAAGCAGCATTATTACAAGTAATCTTTTTGCGGACGTAGCTTTATGCAATTTGTTGCTGCTTTTCACCCACAAAATATAGAGTCCATCCTGCATGGAGGGCGCTGTATAAGTGAAAGTTGTTGTTTCATATCGATATGGTTAACAGAGTAACAATAATAATATAATACTACTACTCATATTACAATACTGAGTCCAAGCTGGTGGATAATAACAGTAACAATAATACTGGGCGTCCCTCTCTCTGTCGCTCTCCCTCTCTCTCTCTCTCTGGCTCTCTCATTCTCCGTTCAATCATTGGTGACCAGGAAGAAATTGGTCGCGTCTTTCTTTTTGCTGCCAGTCACCAGTTACCAGGGAGCAGTTGCCGTGCCCTTATCAGTGAAGGAGAGGAGCATTTCTGCCGTAGGGTGAGGTTGGAATATTGGAATGAGTCAACCTGGTGATGTTAGGTGAGGGTGAGCGAGGGGGAGAGACGTGATGTTGTTGCTGGCGTGACCGCCTGAGTGTAGGAGAGAGGAGAGAGAGTCACACACAGTTGGTGAGCTGTGCGATAAAGCCTGTCACACACACACACACACATACACGCTCAGAGAAGCAGAGAGAGAGGGAGAGGGAGAGAGAGAGAGAGAAAACGCGTGAGCGCGAGAGACACTGAGAGAGGGTGATTGTGAAAGACAGAACGAGAGAGTGGGTGAGTGTAAGAGTGAGAGAGAGAGAGCGTAAGTGTGATAGAGCCAAAGTGATCTCACGACACTACTGTAAGAAGAGATGGGAGTTTCTCCAGGTGATGGAGTCCATTTCAGCTCAATTCAAGCTATAAAAGTTTTAATATCAGACATGATTTCAAATGCCAATGGTTTGTGTGCAGCTGAACTACTGTTATTGTGTAAGAT